ACCGATTGGTAGGGACAATGGGGGGGGGGGGGGGGGGGGATGGAAGGGATAGAGGGGATGCAGGTTGTGGGTTGTGTGTGATGGACTGGGGGGGGGGGGGGGGCAGCGGCGATGACGGCAGCGATCGGCGGTGATCGCGATCAGGTTGCGTTTTCGGGCGACAGTGGAAGATGTGGACAAGACGTACGGCATCGCTACTGTCGAGCGGAGTGCAACATCTGGTGCAGAAGAGCCATGATGCGGTAGATGTGGGGGTGGCGGTGGTGAGGGGCGGGGGGGGCATGGCGGTGGGGTTGGGTGGTCACTCATGCGACGACAGCCAAAGTGGAGAACGGGCGATCAACGCAGGCGCAAGAACCGCACCACAACTCTGCCACGGCACAACGTGGGACGGTTCATTTGCTGTCCGCCGAGTCGGCAGGGTGCGCAATGACGCGGCGGATGGCCGCAGCAATTGCATTGTCAGATGCAGCCTCGACCGAGTCTGGCCGGATGCAGACCCGGTCAGCCACGACGATCAGCCCGCCATCACTGTCGAGGGCAGCAGTGGCGCCAATCTCGCCGATCCGCGCCGCAAATGAGAGCTCGACACGCAGAGCGGGCGCGTCCGGGCCAAGCCGTTCCCAGGCCTGGCCAATGCGCCCGAGGACGAGCGAGGTCGGGAGAAGCGTGACTGCGCGCTGTCGCTCGCTGAGCGAAGGAAGGGCGGCGTAGAAAGAGGCTCGGTCGACGGCGACTGCCACGCCGCCGACGCCGGTTGCTTCGATCTGGTCGAGGGCGGCGTCAATATCTGAAATGGCAGCCAAGCGCGTGGAGTGAGTTGTCGCACTCGGAGCGTGAGCAGGCGAGGCGGCACGGCGCTCGAGGTCGACGACGTGGCGGACGTCGGCTGCCGTGAGGCGTGAGGCGGCAGCAGAGCCATCGACGTCGAGGGCAGCCGCATGTGACGCCAGACCGGCCATTCTCGGCTGGACAACTGCGTCCTCGTCGTCACCGAGCTCGACACCCTCTTCACGTAGGAGCTGGACGACTGGCGCGTGGCCCATGGCGACCGCATAATACATCGGCGACTTGCCGAGCTTGTTGCGGGCGTCAAGCGGGGCGCCGAGCATGAACAGCCGCATCACGCTGTCATAGAGACCGTGAGTTGCCGCCACATGCAGCGGGGTATTTCCGGTCTCTGCATCGGCGCGCCGCGGCGACGCGCCGGCCTCTAGCAGGACTGCGGCTGTGTCCTCGTGGCGCCCGTCGAGCGCTGCAAGGAGCGCGGTGCTCGGAAGGCACATGCAGCTCCGGTCGACTGCGGCGCCGGCGCGGAGGAGGGCAGCGACAACTTTGGTATGACCCATCCGAGATGCAGCAATGAGCGGGCTCTCACTGCGACTAGTGCCGTTTGCGAGATCGCCGGCGGCCAGCCGGGCCTCGACAACAGCCAAGGCGCCACTTCGTGCTGCGGCGACGAGCGAGCCCATGGAGGCAGCAGGAGCAACTGCAGAGGCTTTTGCACTACTGTCCTCCGCGTGGCCAGTGGCAATCGTGACCGCGTTGGCGGCCATTTGCCGCGAGAACCAGCCCTGTAGCTCAGCGTCGTCCCGGATGCCGCCGACAAGGCTTGCATGACCCATTCCTGCTGCGTAAACCCGCAGACTCTCGGCAGCGGGACCTGACCGGGCTTTGTCGAGCGCAGCACGCAGGTCAGGATCGCCGGACACAGCGTGCTCGATGGCTGCCAGCGCCAGAACCATGCCGTGAGCGTACATCCAGTGGAGGACAGTCTCACCATGGGCTGTGGTGAAACCGAGGGCAAGGTCAGCGCCGCGCTTGATGAGGACCATGCACGCGCCGAGCCGCCCGCGGCTGGCAGCTTGGTACAAAAGTGGCGAGCCCGAGCCTGGCGAGGTGTAGCTCGCCCAGGCTACGTCGGCGTCGTCGAGGGCATCAAGGAGAACGGTGAGAGCGCGAACCGAGCCCGCACGAACGGCACCTTCGATGACCGGCTGCCACCAACGGGGGACTTGGCGGAGCGCGTCGTAGGCGCCGGGCCAGACGCCGGCAGCGACTTCGACAACCGCGTAGTAACCACCGCCTTCACACACCTCGATCAGGGCATCGTACGCCATGTCGAGGCTCTGGCTCGACGGCTCGGCGTCGCCGGAAGGCGAGAGCTGACCCAGGACAGCCTGCAGCAGCAGTCGGACTGCGCCGTGCTTGCCGCGGACCGAGGCGTAGTACAGCGGCATGTGGTCGGAGGCATCGGTGACAAACGGGGAGGCGCCGGCGTCAAGAAGAAATCGCACCGCGTCATCGTGGCCAGCGGCAGCAGCAAAGTGGAGGATGTGCCAGAGGCTCTGCGCCCGGTCGGCGTAGCTCCACTGCTCGTTGCTTGGGACGACTGCTGAGTCATCGAGAAGGGCGCCTGCGCCGACCAGACGCTCGAGCAGGGTCCAGTACCCGCGCGCTGCGGCGCGTGCCACGAGCGGAACAACGCGTGATGGCTCCGAGTGAGCCGCAGAGAGTGTGTGGGCAACGTCGGCATCAAGGAGAGCAACGGCCATGGCCTCGGCGGTTCGGCCGGCGGCATTGCCGGCTGCCGATGCAGCCGGGAGCGACTGCCCATAGACCAGGGACCATTCGATGGGATACACGGTGCGACCATCCGAGGTGGAGGCCGGAAGCCAAAGTTCGGGTGCTGAGACTGCCAGTGCAGGTGCGAGGATGCCAGTCTGAGCGAGGGCTGCAGCAATGTGGACCAAAGTCGGCTTAATCACGTGCTCGGCGAGGTCTGCGGTCGCATCGTCTTCGCCAAAGAGCAAGACGCCTGCGAGCGGGGAAGCCGCGCATGCGAGGCCGGCTGGTCCAGTGCGGGCAAGCATCCGGGAAACAACGGCGATCATGTCAGGCGCGATGGAGGTCGCAAGGCCAGTGGCGGCCGCCTCGCCCAGGAGATGCAGGTCAGAGCAGTGCGGCTCCAGGACAAGGGCAGAGGCCGGATGACCGCCAAGCATGGCGGCGGCAAGCGGGGTTAGCCCGTTGGAGGCAGTGGCACAGGCCTCGGTTTGGGCGCGCTCGCGGCCAAGAGCGTCAACAACCATCTGTAGCATGCGGTCGTTGCCTTCGATTGCGAGTTGGTGGAGCATGGACCAGCCAGCAACGACTTGCGATCCTGCAGCAGGCTCGAGGTCAGCGAGGGTGGCAATGCCGAGGGCGGCGATGGGGGCAAGGGGCGCTCGACGAGCAATGAGCGGAAGTGCGGCTTGCGAGACAGTGCCCGACCAGCCGCCGATGAGCGAGAGCAGCCGGACCAGCTTTTGGCGCATGCCCACCATGCCGGGTTCGTCACGAGTAAACGAGTTGAGAGCGTCGCGAAGATTGGGCCCGCCCGGAACGCCGGCGGCGAGCATCTGGACAACGAGCGGGAGGCGGCCGCCAACAACAAGCGGATGCAGCGCAATCGAGCACGCCGAACCGCGGACTTGGCCGTTGGCGAGCATGTGCTCAAGAAGGGCCGAGCACTTGCGATGAGCCTTTGCGAGACCCCAAACGCCGAGTGTGTGCATGGTATTTCCAAGGGCAAGCCTGGCGACCTCAATTTCTTCGTTGTCATCATCGTCGTCGTCGTCGTCGTCGTCGTCGTCAAGAACGATAGAGGCCGGCAAAACTCTTGAAAGCTGCTCGACGACATAGATACGGTCGTGGATCATGGGCGGCTTAAAGCCAGGAACGGGGCGGATGACGATGGCGGCCTCGGTGAGTGTCTCGACGTTGTCCACGAAGTTGACTTCTATCCACGGTGCCAAGTCCGCGACAACAGCCAGGGCTTCGCGGCCGAGTGCGAGGTCCAAGGCTCGGCGCTGAGGGCGCGGCAGGATCGGGCTGCTCGCGCCGAGGGTGAGGATTTGCGACGACCACTGGGTGTCGACAATGACGAGCTTGAGGAGAACGTGCCAGCCTGCGCTGGCGGCAAGGGCGATGACGTCGCTCAGCGCAAGATAGGCAGCCTGCGAGAAGTCCTGCGGCTGAGTGTGAGCCCAGAGGCGGCAGGCCAGGTCTTCGGCCCGCGGCGACCGAATGCGGGCAAAGGCGAGCGGCTGCGGCTGGGCGGAGCAGAGGAGGACGGCGAGTGGAGAGAAGGACCACAGGTGCGGCAAAGAAAAGGCAGTGACTGAGGCTGCGGGCGCAAAGTCGGCGTGGAGCTCCTGCACAGCATAGGAGATGATGATGTCGCAGCAGGCAAGGACGGCGTCGTCGTCGCCAGCCCGGCGCTGGCGGTCGCTGCTGAGTGATGGCGCGGCAGCAAAGACGGAGGAAAAGGCAGCTCGGAGGGCGCCGGCGGAGAACCTGGTGGCGCCAATGTGCTCAAAGGACCAGAGGCTCGAGTAGATATCGAGGGCGCGACGGAGGCCGTCAGTGTTGCCGTGATGAGCAGCGAGAACAATAGCGTGTTCGGTGGCATGGACAAAGGTATTGAGCTCGTCCGGGTCGGGTGAGAGCTCGAGTCGATGGAGGCCGCGGCGGTCGAGCAGGTCAAGGCAGGCTCGGTCTGGAGCGGCTGTTGCAGCGATGATGAGCAAGACGCTCGAGTCCAAGGGTGCGAGGCCGAGGTCGATGAGGAGGCTTGCCGAGTCGACGTCGCCGACGAGGAGCGCGGCGTGGAGCCAAGTGGCAGTGCCGAGGACGGCGAGAGCGATGTCGGTGGATAGGCGGAGAAGAGCACGGATGGCGTTGCGTGCTTCCTTGCGGGAGGCGGTGTAGCCGAGACAGGGGGTGGAGCCGAGGTCGAGAACTGCAAGGGCGACGGGCACAACAGGAGTGATGGTGCCAGGAGCGATGCAAGCTGCGGCGACGGGAGCAACGAGCGACTCAGCCGAATGGCGATCAACATGGGGCTCGGCAGGAAGAGTGGCGTTGGGAGTGGCGTAGACGGCAAACGACGGATCGTTGGGGAGGGCAAGCGTGCTGGGGTTGGAGCGAGCAAGGAGCCATGCGAGAAACGGAAGTGCCTCGTGGTGGATAAGAGCGGAGATATCGAGGCTGGAGACAACAAAGTCTGGAGTGAGCTGGGACGGAAAGGCCGAGGCGAGGGCGGTAAAGACATCATACCGTCTGCGGGCGACGAGGATGGGAACAATACCGACGGGAGCCTCATCGCCAACAAACTGAGAGGCCGAGGCAAGGAGAGAGACGGATGTCGGGAGAGGGAGGCGGGCCTGAAGCGAGACGCCACCGTTGGCGAGGGCGACAACGAGATCGTCCATGGCCCGGGCGCAGGCATAGACGATTGCGGTTGCCGCAGCGGGCGCGTCAAGAACGAGGCTGGGATGGTTGAGAACGAGGCTGGCGAGCGCGAGTTCGCCATGTGTGATAGCAAGGACAAGCGGATGGTCAGCAACGTCTTTGTCGTAGACAGCGGGGACGCCTGCAGTCAAGAGGCGGGAAGCGGCGTCAGGACGGGATGCGCGTAGCGCTGCGCGGAGGGCCGGCGTCGAGTCGGCGACGGCAGCAAAGAGCGGGGCGTCAATGAGCTCGTCGAGGACGTCAACATGTCCGGCAGCTGCGGCTGCGATGAGGGCGTCATCGAGTGCGGCGGGGGTGAGCGAGTTGTGCGCAGCACGAATGCAGAGGGCAACGAGTGAGCGGTGACCGGCTGCGGCGGCAACAGCAAGATCGGATTGGGCAAGGGTGTAGCCGACAGAGAAGAGAAGCGAAAAGAGTGGGAGGTTGCCAGCAGCGAGCTCGGCGTGAAGAAAGCTAGCCCAAATGGGGATGTCGCGCGCGGGAAGAAGGATGGCGAGGGCGGCACGCGAGGTGGGACAGACCTTGCTTGGGGTGGAACGATCGAGGGCGTGGACCTGTGCAGAGACTTGCAGCGGGGTAGCCGAGTTTGCGGAGTTTGCGGCGCGCGCGGCGTTGACGTCGCGGAGCTGAGCGCGGAGCGAGGACTGGTCAGAGCCGGGCGACCAAGAGGCATGGAGCGAGTCGGAGCGGAACGGAGAGGCCGAGTGAAGGCCAAGGGACCGCGACGAGGCCGAAAGGCGGGCCGAGGAGGTCGAGGTGGCCACCAAAACGTGAGGGTCTGCAGTGTGGAAGGCAAGAAGCGAAGCAATGCGGAGGTGGCCTCTGCGGCAGGCGAGCTGAAAGAGCGAGCAGCCGTGGGCGTCGCGGACACGGATGTGAGCGCGGTGCTCGAGGAGGTATTTGACAACGACGCCGTGGCCCGCGGCGACAGCGACAGCAAGCGGCGATGGGCCAGAAGACGGAGCCGGGCAGCGTGACGGCAACGGTGGTGCATAGCTCGCGAGGTGCTTGCGGAGGCGGGCAGGCATCTTTGGGCGGTGCGGTGACAAGGGCGGTGATGAGGACAGCGGCGCGCGGGCGTTGATGTCTGCATGGCCAGACTCGACGAGTGCAGAGACAAGGTCGAGGGAGCCGGCGGCACAGGCGGCGTGGAGCGGAGCGTGCTCGATGTTGTCGAAGACGGCGAGAGCCGCGGGAGAGGCAGAGGCAAGAAGGTCAATGACGTGAACGTGATTCGCATAGACGGCCTCGTGGAGCGGGGTGCGGCCGGCGGCGTTGGGCAGAGAAGCGATGTCTGCTCCGGCTGGGGCATTCAGGAGGAGAGCGATGACGTCTTCGTGGCCTTGGCCTGCGGCAAGATGAAGCGGGGTGTCGTGGCGCCAGTCGCAGGTGTCTGGTGCTGCGCCAGCTGCTAGGAGAGCCTTGACACAGGCAGTAGAGCCGGAGAGAGCAGCAGCGTGAAGGGCAGTGCGCTCGAGCGCGTCGCGGGCTGCGATGGAGGTGTCAACTTCGCCGACCAGCTGTTCTGTGGCAAGGAGCTGGGCGAGGAGGGCGTCGTCGCCGGTGCCTGCGGCGGCGACCAGGTCGCCAACGGCAGCTGCAAAGAGCGAGCGTGGAGAGTGGCCGTGGATGTCTTCGGCAAGAGCAATCGATCTGGCTGTTTGAGGTCCGGCTGCAGCGAGGAGGCTCGGATAGAGGTCAGAGTAACCGGCGTAGAGGGCGGCATGGAGTGGGTTGGCTCCGGTAGCATCTGTGGCGGCAAGCGCGACGGGTAGGAGAGGTGCGAGTGGCGAGGGCGAGTTCACAGCAATGCCAAAGGCAGCAAGAACAGCAGGATGGCCTGCGACGGCAGCCATGTGCAGCGGAGTCCGGCCCGATGCATCCTTGGTGGCGAGAACGGCAGTAGCGAGGAGGGGCGGGAGCGATGCGAGGGCATCGAGAAGGACCGTGACGAGGGCGGCCATGCGCTCGACGAGGGCGACGACGTCGACGAGGGGGCTCGGACCCGAGGCCGAGGCGCCGGGCAGTGATGCTGTGTCGCTTGGCGACGGGCTGTCGGCGTCGAGGAGCTCGAGGAGCTCGTCATCACCGGACGACGATGACGACGAAAACGAGAGGTGTGCGCGAGGCGCGGGACGGGCCGGTGACGCGTGGGCCATTGCGCGGGCGGCCTCGGTCATAGAACGTGGGGTGAGGGCGACGTGGAGCGGGGTGAGGCCGGCAATGTCGCGCCAGGAGAGAGCGGCAGCAAGCTCAGCGGGCGAGAGCCGAGCGATGAGCGCGGCGGCAGCGTCGACGTCAACGAGGCGGACGGCATCAGCAAGGAGGTGGCCGGCATGAGGCGGGGTGTCTTGAGGAAAGGTGACAACCACGGCAGCAACGCGACAGGGCGAGGCGTCCGGATCCCAGACCATGTCGTCGGAAGGTGGAAGCGGGGCTGCGCGCGGGCAAGTTGAGTGATGCAGTAGATGTGCAGGACCCCAACAGCGCTCAGCTGGTGAGCGGCGCGATGGCGAAGCAGTCGCGGCTGCGGCATGGTAGCGGTAGCAGCGCCAGACCGGGAAGAGCGAGGCGGCGGGGGTTCCAGGCTCGGAGGCGAGCGGAACAATAGCAGCAGAGCGGGCGACGGAGCGGTTGACAAAGACCGCCGAGGCAAGAAGCGGGTTTGCGGTGAGGGCGGCGGCGCGGATGTCTGCAAGAGACGCTGCCGGGTCGATGTCGTGGATGACGGCGAGCGGGAGGGCGGCCGAGTGGCCGTCGGCGACGATGGTGACCGAGACGGCAGCTGGGAGCGGTGGAAGCGAGGGCGGGGCTGCGGCACGGGCGGCAAGCCACTCAAGCGCTGCAGCCTTGCTGTCGTAGTTTGTGCGGGAGCAGGCGAGGCGGGCGGCGCGCGCGGATACGGAGGCATCCGCGGCGACGGCGGCGCGCATGCGGGCGCGACGGGCCTTGTGACGGGCGTGCAGAGTGTCCGGGGATGCATCCCAGGCCGGGATCGCGGGCGGCGACGACGGCAACGGCGACGATGGCGGAGACGAGCTGGCATTGGGCTCGGCGGCGACGGTAAAGGCGAGCGGAGTGCCCGGCAGCCGCGGGCCAAAGACCGAGCCAAGGCGTGCATGGAGAGTACATGCGGCCCGCGGCGGGAGGGGCGGAAGGGCGAGACGGATGACGCCGTCGGGTGCTGGCGCTGGAACAGGCGACGGCGCCGGCAGCGGAGTCGAGGAGTCGGCTGAATCGATCCAAACATAGAGAGGGAGGGAAGCCGGCGATGAGTCGGGGGTGGTGAGCGAGAGCGTGAGCGGGGTGTGTGGAGGAGGGTGCGGGAGGTGGAGGGAGGCTGTGTCGAGGGAGTAGGGCGGTGGAGCGGGGGAAGGAGGGGGAGAGGAGAGGAGGGCGGGCATGGGCGAGGGTGTGGCGAGCGGTGTGGAAGGAAGGGGTGCAGGGTGAAGAAGGAAGGAAGAAAGGGTGGGGAGGACTCAAGCAGGTGCGGGGTGTCGGAAGGAAAGAAGGAATGGAGGAAAGGGCCTGCTTCAAAGAGCAAAAAAACGTTGAACATGGGCCCCAAACGCGCGTATATATTCATTTTATATATTTTACTTTGTGATTAAAATGACATTTTAGGATATTCGCGTGTTGAATAAATAATCATATGTTTATATAGTTATGTTTATATAATTATATAGTTCAGACTACAGGTGTTCTATATAGCCCAGATTTCGAAACAACTCTCAGGCGCACAACTCTGCCTCTGGCGCACGCGTTGCGGATGCTGTGGATACACAAAGATGCGTGATCTCAAAGTAACAACATGGACTATCTGTAACTGCATTGTCGTGTATTGATCGTGGCGAGAGGAAAGGAGGCGAGAGGGAAAACCGTCGTCCATGACCGGATCCATGCCATCGGGCACTGGCAAATGGGACGCTCTTGGCGCCGCGTGGCCAGGAATGGCGCATGGCAAGCCATCGTAGCCTGGACAGAGTGTGTGGGTACGCATCGTTGCATTGATTGGCCTGGTACGTCTGGAAGGGTCTCAGACCGGTCGCAGAGTCGGGCGTCGGGTGGCAGCCGGGCGCGGAGTTGAAGACACATCACTCGGTGAGGCTGGGGATGGCAGCGCAGTCAGAGGTGGACGACACGGAACCGAGGTGGGGCCTGGGCTCGGAGAGCGAGTCGGGCACAGAGTCCTCGCACTCGGGGTGCGACGGTGGTGCCGGAACAGGGAGTGGGCGGAGGAGTTGCGGCGAGTCAGAGGAGGCGCAGGCCAAGCATGCGGCGACGGGCACTGTGGGCCAACAGGGCGGCCGCCGGGTGCTGCACTCGTTGGAGGAGACGCCTGCGCCCAGGGAGGCGATGCTGACGACGGCGCTACCTGCAGTGAACATGCCCGGCCTGCCTGTGGCGCTGCTCACGTTTGAGCATGAGGGCGAGGGCGCGAGCGGCGGCGAGGACGACGCGGCGGCGGTGGGTGCAGCGGAGCGTGCCGGGATGCCGAAGCGGCTGCGGCGGTCGATGGTTTTTCTGGCGACGCGCAAAACGCCACACGTGGTGAAGCGTGCAATGATGAGGGCAGGGGTGCAGGTTGTGAAGCGGACGTCGCGGGCGTGGCTGGGAACGTGGGGCCCACGGCGGAAGGACGGCATCCACCGCAAAGTCTCGCAGTTTACGCGGATCAACCACTTGCCGGGCTCGTCTGCGATCGGACGGAAGGACCGCCTGTACCTCACGCTGCGGCGGATGGCGTCTGCGCATCCTGGCGGCGATTATGCGTTCTTTCCGCTGACCTACCTGTTGCCGCAGGGCGAGGCGTCCCTGCGGCGCAAGATGCGGACGCTCAAGGGTGGGACGCCGTGGATTGTCAAGCCGCGAGCATCGGCGCGTGGAAATGGGATCCAGGTTATTTCGCGGGCGTCCGAGGTGCCGTCCGGCAAGTCTTGCATTGTGCAGCGGTACATCAAGAGCCCGCTGCTGATCAACGGGACCAAGTTTGACATCCGGCTGTATGTGGCGGTCATGTCTGTCAATCCGCTGACTGTGTACCTCTTTGACGACGGGCTTGTGCGGTTTGCGACGGTCAAGTACGCGCCAGGGGCGGACTCGTGGTCGAACCGGTTCATGCACCTAACCAACTACTCTGTCAACAAGCACAACACCGAGTACAAGGCAGCGGGCGCGGAGGCCGGAAGCGAGTCTGGCAGCGAGTCGGACGGCGGGAGCGACGAGAGCCAGGCCCACAAATGGTCGCTGGCCGCGCTCAAGCAGTACTTTGCGGAGCACGGGATCGGCGGGGATGAGGTGTGGGAGCGTGTGGACGATCTTGTAGTCAAGACCATCATTGCGATGGAGTCCGAGGTCGCAGGAGTGGTACGGGCCGAGACGCGGCATCGGTCGACATGCTACGAACTCTTTGGTTTTGACGTCTTTCTGGACTCCAAGCTCAAGCCGTGGCTCATCGAAGTCAACATCTCGCCGTCACTCCACACGTCAACGGCGCTGGACCGGCGGATCAAGGACGCGATGGTGTGCGATTTGTTCAATCTTGCGGGCTTTACGGCGTACGACGTCGGTCAGCACGGGCGTGCGGAGCGGCGGAGCGTGGCCTCGCGGCTTGTGCGGCCGACGTCTGCAGGCATGGCGGTGGGGCGAGGCAAGGCGGCGCGGGGCAAGGGGCGCCGGCGGGAGCGGCGGAGTGCGGAGCGGGACGAGTGGGGGCTTGGCGCGCTGAGCGCCGCCGACGTTCGGGTCCTCCGCGAGTTTGAGCTCCAGATCTCACGGCGCGGGCGGTTTCGGCTTCTTTTTCCGCGGCCGTCGACCTTTGAGCGGTATGTCGGTTACTTTCTATCGTCGTTCCGGACGAACCATCTCGTGTGGGCGCTGATCAAGTCTGGGGCGGGTAGCGTGGATGAATTTATTGGGATTGGGGCCAAGCCTGGAGCTGGATCTGGGACTGGGGCTGCTGGGGCCGCTGGAGCAGCAGTGGAAGTGGTTGAAGCTGATGAGGTCGATGGTGTTGAGGTCGAGGTCGATGGGGTTGAGGTCGAGGCCGATGGGATTGAGGTCGAGGCCGATGGTGTTGAGGTCGAGGTCGATGGTGTTGAGGTCGAGGCCGATGGGGTTGAGGTCGAGGCCGATGGGGTTGAGGTCGAGGTCGATGGGGTTGAGGTCGAGGCCGATGGGGTTGAGGTCGAGGTCGATGGTGTTGAGGTCGAGGCCGATGGCGAGGCCGAAATCGAGCCCAAAGCCGAGCCCGAAGCCGAGCCTGAAGCCCAACCACAACCACAACCGCAACCGCAACCCGAGCCCGTGGCTGCAGACGGGCGCAAAGTGCACAACGTAATCGTGGTCGAGCCGGAGGAGTTGGAGCGGATGGCAAGCGTGCCACTGACATGGGGCGCGGTGGCGTCCAAACTCGGGCACGCGCCGAAGCGCGAGGTCAGGTACGGGCCGCTGGGCGGCTCAAGCGGGCGTAGTGCAAGCGCTGGCCCGCGCCGAGCGGGACTGGTGATGCGGATGCCGCAGAGCGCAGGGCGGGCGGATCGGCGGCGCGGGCTGGTGAGCGCGCGATCGACGTCGTCGCTGCCGCGGTACAAAGTCGCGGGCGGCGACGGCGGCGACGGTGGTGACGACAATGGGATCGACGGCCTGCGGATCACCGGCGCACGGGTGCGGCGGCGGGTTGGGCCGTAGCGAAGCAAACAGAAACTTTAATTGCCGCACTTCAGTCGGCGTAGAGCGGGTTGAGCTTGTCCTTGGTGTTGTCCTCGAACAGCGGGTTGCTCTTGATGTCGTCTGTGTCCTCAAAGGCGACGATAGAGGCGACCTCCTGCTGGACTCGCAACAGCTTCCAGATGACGAGGACGAGGACGGCAAAGAGAACAAAGACGGCGACGCCGATGGCAATGAAGATCCAGACCGGGATAGACTCGCCAGGTGCTGAAGCCGGAATGAGGTCGCTGATGTCGATGGTGTCCGGCTGGGTCACGTTTGTCGGCCCGCGGGTCGAGTTGGTCACGCTCGGGTCCTGCGGGCAGAAGGCGAGCGTGTCGTTAACCGACTCGCAGGTGGTAAAGTTATAGTTGAGGAGGTCCTTGGCGATGCACGTGGTGTTGACACTCAACGTCGAGTTGTCAAAGATCGAGCAAGAGGTGCAGACAGTCTCAACAGCGCACGCCTCGCAAGTGTCCCGGGCGGCACAGTAGGTGGCGGTCGGGCACGTTGCGTCGACTTCGGCGGTAGGGCAGGCGGCAAATGCGTCGTCGCACGTCCGGTCGTGGCACGTCTGGGTCGCGCCACACCATCCACACTCGGGGTGGGCCTGGCACTCGAAGCAGCCGTAGTCGCACGGCGGCCGCGGGGCGCACGCGCCGGGGCGGAGCCGGAGCTCAGGGTAGATGGTCCCGTTCCTGGTGGGAAGGCGAATGAGATGGGTGGGCTGCAGCGGTGGAGCGTTGCGAAAGTAGACTTCCTGGGACCAAGGATCACCCCTACTGGCGGCATCGTTCGCACCAGTGACGTTGACGGCATCAATCAGCTCCGTGAACTTGATAGTAATCTCGTACGGAACCGACTCGAGCGGCGAGATGAGCGGACCGATCGAGGCTCCATCGGTGCAACACGCGGCGTAGGCCCAGTGGCACTCGCCAGACTCGGTCTCGTTGTCGAAAAAGTAGCCGTCGAGGCGATGGGTGACATCGTCGCGCACAAGAAAGGGCGGCACGTTGGAATTCGTGTTGTCGCCGGTATTGGCCTCGAAAAAGTATGGAAAGCCGGCGCCGGGAGCGGAAAAGTTAAAGGCGATGGCGCCGCCATCGCCGTCTTGTGGCTTGTCGTGGATGACGGAGAGTGCCAGGCGCTGGTCTTCAGGCGCAGCCTTGCCGACCTGCTCCTTGACGATGAGGAACTGGGTGACTCCCGAGAGCTCGATGCCCGAGTTGGCGCTCGAGCCTGCAGCCAGCCGCCAGCCGCCAGCAGCGCGGGCGGGACAGACCACAAGCATGATCGTGAGTTTGAGCGCCATACCTCTTCTCCACCACACACCCCACACACACACACCCTCCCTTTGGTGGACGATCACGTACCGAACGGGATGTTGTACTGGTAAAAGTCCTGGAACGTCTCATCAGTCAGTAACGGATAGACCGTCTCGAAGAAGCACACACTCGGCATGTTCCATGAGAGGCAAAACGGCTCTTCAGGCGTGGCGGCGTCTGCGAGCAGAAGGTGTGTACACGGCAGGAGTTGCCACACGGTGGTGAGTGTTGATGGCGCGAGGTGAGCAGGCCGGTCGCCCATGTGGTCGCCAGCTGGATGAACAGGCAAGCCACTCTGCTACTGCTTCCACAGCCCCTGTTCCCACCTCCTCTCCCCCCTCGTTCCCCCCCCCCCTTCCCCCCTCCCCATCCCCCTTGCCCTTTCGCGTGCACCACCCTCGACAACGCTTTTGTCGTGCCACAAAAATACTTGTGTTCAAAGAGGTACCTGCTGCGTACCCACACACATGCACCCGCACACAACAGCAACCAAAGCCAGCACAGCAACAACAACAGGTTGCATGCTCTTCGTCCTTTGTCTGCCAAAGGGCGAGTCGAATGACTTCGCGAACGTGTCCCGACGCAAGCGCTGTGGAGGAGGGTGATGCATGGCGTGGGGGCTGACGAATGTCTGTCAAAATGGCGATCCCACACCCCAGCAACGCTCACAGCCACGACTTCAGCCTGTGCGCTTGTATTCGACGCCATTTTTTGGCTACCCCCTAAGACTTGGACATCCACATGACGGTCTGTGGAGTGCACAAGGTATGCGAGAGTGTGCTGCTTCCCGGTCACCAAAGCCACCCGGCGTCGTGGTGGCTGGACAGGGCCGCCTGAAGTGGCATGCATACTTTTTTGCTTTGGCGGGCGGCACTTCGTCTCCTCACTCACTCCATGATCCTCCCCGGCGACAGTGTGCGAAGCTTCTCTTGGTGCTAGTGGTCACTCTAATGGCACGGCATGGTGCTGCGACCACGTTCTCGCGGTCGTCAGCGTTTACCTTTGCCGGCCACGCCGACTTTCTGGCGGCGACGTCGGACCCAGACACGTCGCGAGCGTACTTTTTCTCATTTGAGAGCCCGACGTATCTTGTGGAGATCGACACGGCTGCCAACACTGTTGTGTGGGAGGGCTCTGTCTCGGGGCTGAACAAGGTCAAGAGTGCAGGCTTTGACGCGAACAGCACGCTCATCATTGTCGCGACGTTTGATGGGGTGGTGGCTACCGTCTCGCCGACGACACACGCGGTTGTAGAGTCGCACGCCCCGGCCGGGCGGCCACCGTACTTTGCACTTGTTGTGGACCCTGCAAGGAGCACGGCGATTGTCTCGTGTGACCAAGACGCAGCGATGAAGATCATGGTTTACAAGTATTCGATCAGCCCACTAGTGCAAGTGGTTGGGGAGAATCTTGGAGATCGGTTTTTCACCATGGCTCTTGACCCCGTGACGGAGATGATGTTCGGCGCCTCGCTGACCAAGCCCACCAAGGTGGCGCCATTCTCAGCCACAAGCTTGAAGACTGGAACGATATCATCCAAGTTGCTCGAGTCAGGCGAGGACTTTATGTCTGCGTCGCTGTTGCGGGGCGAGGGGACGCGTACCAAGGCTTACTTTGGAACGGATTCGTCGGCCAACTTTGTTGTAGAGGTGGATGTTACGGATCCTGCCGCCTTTTTCCGAACAGGCCGGCGGCTCTTTACAGGCTCGGCTGGGATTCGGTCTGCGGCGATGGATCCGACGACTGGGCTGCAGTACTGGGGCGCCAACTCGATTCCTGTCGGGTTTGTGTACCTGGTGAACGCGACGAGCATGGAACTTGTTGAGACGCTTACACTCAACACGGGCGAGAAGCGGCTACAGTCTGCGGTGATCGACGTGGCCAACGAGCGGGTGTACTTTGGGACGCAGTCGAACCCGGCACAAGTGATTGTTGTGGAGACTGCAACGTGCCCGAACAACTGCAACGCGGCGAGCAGCGGCGGTGTGTGCACCGGGACGACGTGCAACTGCAACACGCTCCGAGCCGGCTTTGACTGCTCGATCATTCTCTGTCCCTTTGACTGCTATGGGCCGGAGCGCGGGGTGTGCAACCAGGGCGTGTGCGAGTGCACGGCGAACTTTACAGGCCAGTACTGCGAGGAGCGGCGGTGCGAGGGCGGATGCGGCGAGGAGCTGAACCACGGAGTGTGCAACGATGGGACGTGCGAGTGCGTGGTGGACAACGTGGGGTCGTGGAACGGACGCAACTGTGACCAGTTTTCTGTGGCGTGCAACCCGCCGGACTGCTCGGGCCACGGGGTGTGCCCGATCTCGCTCAACGACCGGTGCGATTGCGACGTGGGGTGGCAGTTTTCGCCGCTGTGCAATGTCAACGATGCCGACGCCGAGTCGCTCACGGTCGTCCTTGAGCTGTCCAAGCCGTACAACCGAAGCGTGTTTCTGGCAGCGGTGGCGTACGAGCTCGACATCGACGAGTCGTGCATCGTGATCAAGGCCGAGCCGCCGGAAAACCCGCCAGACACGGTGACCTTTACCATCATCGACTGCGGCAACCGGACAGGACCCTCGCTTGTCCGCGAGCTTGTTGACGTTCTCACAGGGAAGAAGCCGGCGAGGCCCGCTGTGGACGGCAGCGATTCTGAGCTAGGGCGGATCGGAGTAACGTTTCCGGCGCAGGCGCCGCCAAAGGACACGTCTGGGGCGACGGGGGTGCTCATCGGAGTCATTGTGGCTGCCGTGGTTGTGCTCGGTGTGGGCATCGGCTCCTACATGGTGATCAAGCGGAAGTTGCTGGCGAAGGCGCGCGCTGCGCGCGAGGCCAAGGAGTTTGAGAGCCTGTCTGGAGCCGAACTGAATGCGTTTGGAGACTGAGATTGATTGAAAGCGCTCTGGTTTTGAGTGTGGGGGCGAGTGTCTGGCCATTGGCAGCAGACTGGTCAGGGCTCTGCGCTCGACGCGTACGAAGCGGTGAGGTGAAGCTGGGAGTGGGCGCTACTCGCCGGACAACTCGAGTGTGACCGATGAAGTGGAGGAGAGGCGGAGCGAGGAGAGCGAGTCCAATTGGGAGGCAGAGCGGGACGGCCTGCGAAGGACGGCATCGGCGACAGTGGTGAGGTCGAGGCGAGACGAAGTGCGAGCGGGTGGGATCGAGCGAGCGCGGACGGCGGCAGCGAGGGTGAGGCGGAGCAGGTTCTCAACGACGCGGAGGACGCACGAGGCGTAGACGTACGCCTCGTAGACCTCATCCAGCTCGGTCTGGAGCTCGGCAAGTGACTCTGGGTCGGCCCCGTCGGCGGCGGCAGAGGCATACTCGGCAGCAACCTCGCGGAAGGCGGCCTTGGCCTCAGCCTTTTCGGCCCGCACCTCACCAAGAGTTTGGTCCATGCCGCGGTGGTGCGGGAGGTCGAGTCAGCTGGCGCTGTCAGGCACTGTCGCCCCTTGCCGGCTCCGGCTGGGATTTGCTCACGAGCGCCAATTTGTATTTGTTCGTTGTTTTTTTTCACTTGCGCCGCATTCCGCACGCTCAGCTGGGAGGAAGACGGGACGGAGAGTGCGCAAGAATGAGGGGCTTTGAGAGCGAGAAGCAGGGATAGCTGCAACAAGAGAAGTGTGACGAGTGGTACAGACGTATGCGAGCACGGTGAATGGATAGGACACGGCAGGAGACGGTGCGGCAGGCGGAGTGGCGAAGGGTGGCGGCACCACGCACGTGTGGCGGAACGTTCTTTGGCAACGTTTGCTTTTTCGTTCGGAATGAGCAAGAGTCGGCAAGACTTGACTCAAGCAGTCGGGGTGCGACAGGGAAAGGGACGGGAGAAGGTGACGACGGGGAGGGGTGGAGGTGGTGGTAGGAGGAAAGAGCAAGTGTGGTTTGGGTCGGGGTTCTACACCTCTGTGCGGGCTGGAGGAGACGACACAACATGTTCTACGGCTGAGCGAAAAAAAAAAAAACAAGTGGCCCAAAGTCACCAAGAGCGCAAGCGCAAAGGCATAGGCAACAGCACGCGCAAGGAACGCACAACGGCATGCGCAACAGTATGCGCATCAGCACGCACATCAGCACGCGCATCAGCACAACGACAGGCTGCGTCGCCCGGCTGAACGACAGGAAAAGCCAACGCGACAAACAAGAAAGAAAAAGGGCGATGCACCCACACCGAGTCGTAGCGACCATGACCACGGCAACGACATCAGACTGCATGCTCTCTGCTGGGAGGCAACAACAGCACCGAGCAGAAAAACAAAAGTAACCAGATGATGATGCGGAAGAACCGCAAGGCGCCAGCCGACACAACAAGGAACGATCAACCACAAGCTGCTGCAGCGGCAAAGCCGCATGTGGCCAACGACAACAGCAAGGAAAAGTACAACAAAAAGCCGATGCAGCGGCAGGACCGCACATCGCATGCTCTGAGCCTGTGCAACGCCTTGACTGAGCATGCGAGGCATTTGCCCCGTGATGGCACAACGGAACCGAGCGCCCGAGGGAGACGGCGCTGCTCGCGATAGCGCCTCCGCGCGCTCGCCCTCGCACCCGCACGCTGCAGGTGCTTGAGGTCGAGGCGGGAGGGCGGCACCGAGCTGGCACCGATGCGATCACAGCTTGGCCAGCACCCCGAGGCGGAGAGAGAGAATCTGCTAGCAGGTGTGCGGCCGGGAGGGTGGCGAATGAAGGTCTTCTTGCGTCAAAAGGGATGGTTTAACGCGAGGTTTCCGGTTCCCTCTCGTCACAGCGTCGCTTGCGACGGAGCGGCGAGAGGTGGGCGCCGCCAACGGCGCACACCTCCACAGATCGCAGATTCCAGAGAGTCTCCTCCGCAGCGACACCCGTGATCGGGCCATCGTCTGTGTACAAAGCAAGAGAGGTGTCAAGCGGTAGGGAGGGGGGGGGCTTGCGTCGAGTCAGAAGTCTGTGACGCGGCCCTTGAACGACCAGTCGTTGAAGCGGGTGGGCTCGGGGCCCGCCGGGCCGCCAACCTCACCGGTCTCGGTATTGACCTGGGAGCGCGACTCGCCCGGGGCAGCATGGGAGGAGGAGTAGAGCGGCGGCGGAGGGGTTTCATCAGCCCAGTCCTCGACGTCATCGTCGTCATCGTCGAGGAAGGCGGACGCGTCATCGAGCGAGTCGACCGGCGCGTGGTCGTCGTCGTCAGCACGGGCCGCAGAGAGGGTGAGCGAGCGGTTCGAGAACGGCATGGCAGCAGAGGTGACACGGGTGACGCGGGCAAGGAGGGCGGCGCGTAGCATTGGAAAGGGTGAACGAGGTGATGACAGTGAGGTGTCAAGAGGTACGCTAGGTTGAAGAAGAGCTGAGCGCTGGCTACCGTTGAGTGTGCAGAGAGTGAGGGTCTCGAGAGAGGCAAAAAAGAAGATCCTTCCTCGCCGGGGATTGAACCCGGATCTTCAACGTGACAAGCTGAGATACTAGCCATTATACTACGAGGAATTGCTTGATACAGAGCGAGGAAGGACAGCATTATATAGTGTATATTGGATTGGTACAGTAGGCGAGTTCGGTCGGTGCGTGCAGAGGTTCGTGGACAGGTGAGCAGGGGAGCCTCCACTACCAGTCCAACTTGAGCCGTTCTTGCCAATCACAATCACTGCCCTCAGTCAGGCTGTTCCTTTCTCGCCAACCACGAGCCCAACCAAGACATCACCTGTGGCTGGCGGTATACTCGGGCCACCGCCCTGAAGCAACAAGACGACCTGCGATGGTGTGCCTAGCTCGGGCGAGGATTTTGATGCGTGCAGTGTCTGCAACAGCGCGTTCGACACTTGCCTTGGCTGCGATGGCGTGCCCATCCTACTCGGGGGCGCACACTACGATGCTGCGGCAAGTGCGGTGACTCCATTGCATGCTATAAAGATGTGAAGATAGCCGTTGTCACTCAACGAATTCCTCGTAGTATAATGGCTAGTATCTCAGCTTGTCACGTTGAAGATCCGGGTTCAATCCCCGGCGAGGAAGCATTTTTTTTTGCCCATCTCCAGACCCTGCCGCTAGTTCTACAGTAGCCCACCCAAGAGTAGCCAACACACTCCTTGTTCGACATCGTGTGATGTGCGCAAGCTGATGGCGACCATGCCGCATCTTCCTCCTGTGAAGCTGAAAATCCTAGTCTCGAGCACCTTTGGAGGTGTCTAGCAGCGGGTCCAGCGTCCAAGATCTAGCCATGATCAGCCGCAGTAGTTGGGGTGAGCATTGATTGTACACTATATATTCACTTTTCTGTGGCTTGATCATCAAGCAATTCCTCGTAGTATAATGGCTAGTATCTCAGCTTGTCACGTTGAAGATCCGGGTTCAATCCCCGGCGAGGAAGAACTTCTTTTTTTGCCCATCTCCAGACCCTCTTCGCACTCGCACACTCGGCAGTTGCCAGCGCTCAGCTCAAGCTGCGATGCGATACGTGTGAGGCTACGCCCTTCTTGGTTCCTTGATTTCAATGCTGCTGCTACGCAGCCTAGTCACAGCTGTTCCCATCACTTCTTCTTCTTCTTGCACTTGGAAAAGTCAAAGCCGCAGGCAAACGAGAGGATGAGCCAAAGCACGATGGCCAGTACCATCCCGATCAGAATCCACATCTTGATGTTCTTCCACATCATAGCCCGCTTGAGCGACGTCGACTTTTTCTTAAACTGGAACGCTTGCGCCGACAGGTTGTCGGTCTTGTCAACCAGGAGCTCGATCTTCTCGCCGCGCTCGAGCACCTTTTCGATGTTGTCGACCATGACGCCCTTGACGTCGTCGATCTGCGACTGCACTGCGCTAATCTTGTCTGCAGACGGGTCATGGTTGTAGTAGTCGATCCGCGACGAGAGCGTGGGCTTGAACGCCGAGTCGAGCGAGTACGCGATCGCCCTCCGTGCCACACCTGCGTCAAACTGCGCCTCGAACCGGGAGATGACGTCGGCGAGAAAGGCAAACGGAATGCGCCGTGGCGTGTCCGCCTCCGCCATGGCGAGGAACACCAGCCCGTTATGCGTCACGTAGTGAAAGTGCATCGACGAGTACACGTATGTCCGCTTCTCATTACGGCTGGCGTCGAGCTTGCCGAGAATGAGCGGCGTGACAGAGGTAAAGTTGCCTGTGTGTGTTGGGGGGGGGTAAGGGGGGGGGGTAAGGGGGTGTGCTGGGGGTGGACAGGGCGAAAGGGGAGGAAGGGAGAGCGTACCTGAACGGACCGCGTGTTCGCAGAGCACGTTGGTGCCCCGGGCAACGAGGGCGTAGATGATCATGGGGGAGGGGGGGAGCGGAGTGGGGCGGTCGCACACACTCTCGGTACCTCAGAGGTGAGGTTGGGGTATGCAGGGTGTGAGTGGTGTCACGTGTGTGGGGTGATCACGGTGCAGACGTCTGTCTGATGCGAACCAGAGAGAGCTAGGGAAGCTAACTTTACAGGCCAAACTCAACACCCTCCAAGATCGGGGTCCGCGACTTGGTCTTACGCCTCCGCCGGCGCCTCACCACCTCTCCCACCCGGCCTCCTTCTACGGCCTCAGCCAGGCCGCCGCCGCCGCCAGCATCGCCCCACGCCATGCCCCCGCTGCCGACCCCTACCCAGACAACGCCACCGCCGCCGGGACAGACCGAGTGCAGCGCCGGCCGCCCGAGCTCGTCAAGCACCCCACCGCCGCCCACGCTCCACATCCGGACGCTACCGTCGACAGCCGCCACCAGCCGCGATGCGCTCACCCAACTGAGCGCAGTCACCCCGGCGCCGGAGCCCGACTCGGCCACCACGCGCTTTGTGGCGAGGAGGCCAGACGCAGAGCCGACTACGATTGTCCCGCCATGCGTTCCGCACGCCCACATGCTCCCGACCGCGTCCACGCACGCTGCCCCGGACCCGAGATCCACACGCGCCGCAATGGTTCCGTCGCTTCCGGAGAGCACCACAAACCCGCCGCGGACATCGCCGGCAACAACAAGCCCACCGTCGTCCGTCCCTGCCACAGCCGTCACAGCCGCTCCGTCCGCAACATCCACGCGCCACGCCTCACTCCCATTCGCAACTGAGAGCCCGGCCACCTGGCCGTCGCCGCCGCCAGACACGACAAGCCCCGCTCCGCTCAGCACCACAAGATCGCGGACGCCGCCGGCAAGCCGCCCGTGCGGCGTCACCACCCACTCGGCGCTGCCGCCGTCGCCGCTCAGCTGCCACTTGATGACCGCCCCGTCACCGCCGCCAGACACCACAACCTCGTCCAGCGCATGCGACGACACGCAGGCCAGCGCACGGACACCGCTGTCGTGGCTCGTCTGCGAGACAGAGAACCCCCGCCATCCGCCAGCACGTTCCGGATCCGCACGCCACACGCACAGCCGCCCATCGCTCCCGCCGGACACCAGTCCGGCCCGCGATGCAAACGCCAGTGCGCCCACAGGCCCAGAGTGTCCACGGAGCACAAGCCGCGGCTGCGTCGAGACGACAACCCCACCGCATGCTCCGCCCCACGCTGCCAGCTCTCCGCACACCACAGCACCCACCACAGGGCCCACAAGTGGCACTGCACCCGACGGCACCTCTTCCACCACTGGCTGAAGTCTTGTCCTCAGTTCGCAGGCCACGCCTCCCGCACTCGCGCCTCCGTCTTTGCCAACGTCCGCGCCCGCTCTTGCATCCACGCTCTTTGACTTGTGCTTGCGCCGAAGCCGCCGCCGCTTGCTCTTCTCCTTGCCCTTGTCCTTGTTCTTGCCCTTGTCCTTTCCCTTTCCCTTCCCCTTGCCCGTCTCCTCGCCCGCCGATATCAACGCACCGACGTCCGTCACCACGTTCTCCTCCATCTCAGTCTTGGCCCGAAACAGGTTGGCCACAAGCTGCCGCGCCATCGCCGCCCGTGACTCGCCGATGCACGCCGCATACGCCGCCCGCGATGCGAAAGCCCGCACCGCCGATGCGGTGCACCCAAGCGTCACCATCGCGTGTGCAATCGCAGCCAGGTGGCCAAACAGCACATCAGCAATGCGCTCGTCGTCGGCAGGCCCTCCCGCGTCCGCTCCGTCGGTGCATGCGTGTTGAGCAGCCTCGGCATCCGCCACATGTGCAAAGACCGCTGCCCACAGCTCACTTGCCTCTAGCAGCGGACTCAGCGCGCCCATTAGCTCATCATCATTGGCCACAGCCTCAAGAAGGAACTGCCGCGACGGCGAGACAATCTTGGTCAGCAGCGGAATAAGCATGTGTGCTCCAGCATAGTGCGCCGCTGCCGCGTCAATGCGCAGCGCCGTGCCCACAAGGCTCGCAAGTGCTGCAAACCCGGCCGCGCTCACACTCACCTTGCCCGGTTGCGGACCGCCAGCCTCGGCTGAGAGAAGCGCCGCAAAGAGGAGCCGACCGGCCGCCGACCCCAGGACCGCCCGCGCCGCATCACGCCGCGGCGCCGACGGTAACTCGCTATCCTCGGCCGACGCCAAAAGCTCCGGAATCACCCGCGAGAGCACTACCACGTCGTTGCGGAGCGCTGGCAGCGTCCGGAGGTAGCTGACAAGATCCGGACGTGGAGCCGGCACGCGCTTCCATCCACAAGCGCCGCAAAGAGCGACGACGACGAGACAGCAGCAAGCCACGGCAGGAGTGCTGGCGACGCCCACCCGCTCCCGTCAGCCCGCGTCTCCGCTGCGAGTGTGAGCGTAAGAAACACCCCGCGATCAAGCACTGTGCTGGCCTGCACCGTGCGCACCGCATACGGCAGCGCCGCGAGAAGCCGATCCCAGATCGCGCGGACCGCCGACAGCAGCACCGTGGGAACTGGCGCCGTCGGCACACCAGCCTGGAGCCTGTCCGCACACTCAAGCTCGGGCCGCGAGCCCGCTACAATTGCCGCAATCACTGCCGCGCGCAGCGGCCGTGGCGCCTCCAGATACACATCAGGCAGCGGCCGAGCAAGCCCAGACCCGTCGAGGCTCGCCACACACACGTCCGTCGCCCCGTCGCCCACCTGGTCCGCCACAGTCACCGGCGACGCGCCCATGATGAACGGCGTCGGCGCAGCAAGGTACTGTGTCATCACCGCCGGCACAATTGGCACAAACACGTATGGCCACGGGAAAGGTGCGAGGAGGGCAAGCGCCGCGAGCGCCGCAGACGACAGCATCCCCGGCGACGACGACACAAGCACAAGCTTGGCCTCCAGCAGCAGCGCAAGGAGAATGTCTGCCAGGTCTGGCGGCGAGAGCGCAAGCGTAGTCAGCCGCAGCGCTCCAGAGTGGGCTGGCATCGGTGCCGGAACCACAAGCATTGACTTGAGGAGCGAGCTCGCCACCGCCCGCCGCGCGTCCGGTGACGCCGCGTCCAGGAGCTGCCCCGCTATCGTCCTCAGCATCCGCACCGCAGGCGCCGAAGCAAGAAAGCCAAACACACACGTTCCGCTCGACACCGTCGCCAGCCAGCTCCTCCCGCCCGAGACCGAGGTGAGCGTGTTGAGGGTAAAGGCCGCCTCGCCCGACTCGATCCGCGGCGGGATGGGAACCGCAAAGAGGTGAAACTGCGGCGGGAGCGACGCGCCAGCCGCCAGCGAAGTGAAGACCGGCTCGTGCGGCGGACTCAGCTCGAGCTCGTAGTATGCCAGCAGCAGCGACGATGGCGCCGAGTCGGCCGGTGGTGGCGCCGGCGGGTGCTGCTCAACCTCCTCCTGCGAGAGCGACCACGACGAAAAGTCCGATGCCGACGATGACGACACCGACTCACATGATGATGATGATGACAATGATCTGCGCCTCTCCTTTGCCCCACTGCCCGCTCCTGTGCTCCCCGTCGGCAGCGGAGGGAGAGAACGGATGGGCGGGTTAGACACGCCAGACGAGGCCGAGCCGGAGGCCGAGCCAGGCCCAGTGCCAGGCCCAGAGGCCGACGAGGTCACCGAGGCTGTGGACGAGGACGGCAAAGTAGTGCGGCGCGAGGGCGTGGGCAAGTATTCAGAGTCTGTGGAGGTCGACGACGAGGATGGGCTTGTGCGGCTGGTGGGACTCGTGGGAGTGGCACTCGCCATGGTGGAGTGCGGTGCCGACGGTGGTGGCGGTGGGGGTGAGGGGGGGGGGGGGGGGGGGCCCGGGCGGTGTGACCGTGCCAACTGGCGTCACGACTCACGAGCCTTAAAGCCTTTGTGAGTTTGAAGGAGGGCCGTCCACCCCACCCCGCCAGTTGCCACCTGCCTCCTACCAAAACCATAAGCGCAGACTTCCAACTCTCACACCCATCCCGATCTGCACGCGCCGTGTTTTAAGCGACGATGTAATCACCATGCTGGTTGATCAGTGTCGGCATTGGGTTGCAAAGACAGGCTACTGCCACAGCCGGAGCTTGCGGCCAGATGCAATAGCAAGAATGGCGGGCCGGGCAGGCGCAGCTGCGGCAAACGCCGTGTCGGGTGACAGTGCGCTTCCGGTGGCAACAGAGGCTGCAAGCTGCAGGGTCGGTGTTGTCGATCCGATGGTGACGCAGTGGACTACGCCGGTTGCAGTGAGGACGTAGAGCCACGGACGTGCTCCCGACGCGATACCCACGGGATCGCCGTCGAGCGCGAGCTCGCCTGCAGCCGCAAAGGCAGCCGCGCTAGCCGACCATGAGATGGCGCGGATGGAGGCCGATGTCGACAAGACGGCGTACACCGTGTTGCCGATCGCCACCGCCGATCGCGCCGGCCCGTCGAGGGTGTACGACCCGAGATTGACTCCGGTCCGCGGGTCCCACGCCTTGAGCTCTGCATCAGCACCGACGGTGACCACCGCGTCGTCGAGAACGAGGCCAAACAAGACAAAGGCCGAGTGCGCTCGGAGATCGTGGAGCACACGCCCGCCGACAAGCCCGACAACTTTAGCAGTGCCATCGAGCGAGGTCGTGAGAATGCGCGACGGCCCGCAGAACGTCACAGACGTGATGCGGTCGGTGTGAAACGGCTCAAAGACTCGCACCACCTCGCCACTCGCGGCATCGGCCACAACCACCGCTCCGTCGGCGTGCGCCGAGACAAGCAGTGAGGCATCAGGCGCGTAGCAGAGCGCGGTTACCGCCGACCCCGACGGCGCCGCAATGATCATCATCGGCTCGATCGATGACGTCTCGCCCATACGAGAACAATCCCACACCTCGACCATGCCCGGCTCGTCACAACACGCCGTTGCCAGCCGCGCCACAGTCGTTGCCGGCGCAAAGGCCACAGCCGCAATCCCCGACGCCGCCTTGAGCGAGCCCGCCTTCCCCGACGGGATCCCGCCGCCGCTCTCCGCCGAGCCCGCCAAACTCGCCGATGACGCAAGAAGCGTCCCAACCCGCCCAGCCTTCGCCTCAAACCGCAGCCCGGCTGCGAGGAGCGAGAGGAGCTGCGACGGCGGAAGATCGTCCAGCGACGCCGCCAAGGCCGAGGCGAGCGCGGAGCGATCAGCAGCCGACGTCGCCGACAAAGAGCCCGCCAGATCGCCTGCAGCCGCCGCTCCCAGATCCGCTGCAAGCTGTGCCGGCAGCGGCGTCGCCGTCAGATGCGGCAGGACCGAGTGCCACGCCCCGGCAGCCGTGGCCGCCGTCACCGACGCCACCGTGGCCGGCGCCGCCGGCGCAGCAAGCGTGACCTGCGACTCTGCCGAGAGCGCCGCTGCAGTCTCAGGAAGCGACGCCTCGTTGAGGAACTGCAGTATGAGCTTGACCACGTCTGTGCCCTCAACTTCCATCCCAAACACCCTCCCCTCTGTGTGGCGTCGAGTGGGGACGACCCAAAGGAGGGGAGGGAGGAGGCTGGGATCGGACGCCAGTTGGGCGCCATCGATCTGTGGCAAGGACATGCCACAGACAGATCGGATGGAAGGGATGTCGTTGGATGATCGGCGTGGGGCTGGCGGGTGTGGAGGGTACCATGGCCTATGCGCTGTGTGTGATGTGTCCGCAGGACAAGAGAGGAGGTCGGACGGATGGGACGGGGGTGGCGGGGCGGGGCACGAGGACGGTCAAGGGGGAGCAAGAAGGGCTCATCGATCTGTGGCAGGAACAACTCCTGCTGACGTAAGGACGTTGTCGCTATTCGTCTGCCACACACCCCACCAACAGTGCATGCGCAGCACTCTCACAGCCCACGTGATGATGTGGGTTGCTAAATCGACTGATCTTGCGTCGTCGGTAATCCTTTGCTTTGGTGCTCTTCTCCAGCACACACAGCCATCATGTGTAGTAGACAACATGCACAGGCCCACACACTGCCACCACCATCCACGTCCTCACACATCTACAACCTCCCACATCCTCTTCGCCTCATGAGCACCCGTAGCTTGCCATCTACTGCCTCCCAAACCACTTTGTGCTCTGCCGGGAAAAACCTCATCATCTTCTCCGATCCCAACCATCCCCTCCCCCCCCACTATTCCATCACCTTTAAACCCCTCCCCCCCCTCCCCCCTGCTCCTCTTTGCTCTCCCCACCTCGATCACTACCTTTCCATCCCCGTCCTTGCCACCATCAACAGTATGCCCATGAGCACCCGTTCAAGACATTGTCAGCCATGCTCTACATTTTTTTTCTGCAATCATCCCCACTTTCCCTCTCCATGGTCAACCATGTTGCCAACCGCTCACCCTCCCCACCTCCTTCCCGCCACAGCCACCAACACTGACCGGCCCCTTGGCAGTCCACTCGCCCCCCTCCTCCTCCCCCCCCCTCCCCCTCCCCTCTACAACCCCCTACCACTACCTGCCCAATGGACCCTGCCGCACTGCTCCCGGCGTCCGGCATACCTGCGTCCCCTCTGGTGCCAGTGGCTCCTGCGGCGGGTAACGGCAGCTCGTCGTCCAACTCGTCGTCGTCATCGCCTGCGGCAGCTGTTGATGCGCAAGCGGGAGCATCGATGCGCCATGCGAGCCAAGGCTCTCTCCGCTCGCCTACGATTGCAGCACTTGGCGGGCGTGGTCGGCGGGGCTCCATCTCGGCCGAAGTCCTCCGTCCGCGCAAGACCGGCTTCAAACCGCCGCAACACGCCAAGACGCCCGAGGCCAAGGCCCGCATCCGATCGGCGGTTGCCGGTCACATTCTCTTCCGCCATCTCGATGCCGACCAGTTGACAGTGGTCGTCAACGCCATGTTTGAGCTCCCCACCGTCGCCGGCACCTCTATCATCCGCCAGGGCGACCCGGGCGACTACTTCTACATTGTTGACTCTGGCAAGTTTGACATCTTTGTCACCCCTTCCGGCGGCGGCCCGACCGCAAAGGTCCTGACCGTCACCGCTGGGGGCGCTTTTGGCGAGCTCGCCCTCATGTACAACGCCCCGCGTGCTGCAACCTGCACTGCTGTCAAGGACTCGGTCCTCTGGGCCCTCGATCGCGTCACCTTTAACTACATTCTCATGGACTCGACCCTCGCCAAGCGCGACCGCTACCAGGAGTTCCTTCGCGACGTTCCGCTCTTCCGCAGCGCAGACGCCTCCATGCTCGGTCAGATCGCCGACGTCCTCGGTGAGGCTGTCTTCTCCGACGGCGAGTACATTGTACGCCAGGGCGACTCCGCCGCCGACCGCTTCTACATCATCGACACAGGCCATGTCAGAGTCGAACAGACCTCCCCGGACGGTGAAACAGCTATTTTGGCCACCCTTGGTTCGCGCGACTACTTTGGCGAGGTTGCGCTCATGGCTCAGTGCGCCCGCAACGCCGACGTCATCGCCTCGTTCTCTGTCAAGTGTGTTGTCCTTGATCGTGCCTCCTTCCTCCGCCTCGTCGCCACCCCGGCGCGCATGCCGCTCCTTTCGAAGCGCATGGCGACGTACACCCTACTTGACTCGACCGCGGCCGCTGTCAATCTCATGGGCTCGCGCTCGTCGCTCATCTCTACATCCGACTCGTCAGACGAAGCAAGCACTACTGCCAGCCCGGCCGCGAGCCCAGCCGTCGTCCGCCACGCTGCTCCGCCATCTGCTCCGTCGTCGGAACCGTCGGCTTCGTCCGCTGATGCTCCCTGCTACGACAATCTCGGGCCACTGCCAACAGACCTGGAGGGCGCGCCCGACGGCTTCACCCCTGCCCTCCAGCGGTATTCGATTGATGCTGCCGTTGCTTCAGCCAAGAGTGGCCGCGATCCCAACTCATCCAGCATCGGCTCCTCCTCTTCCTCCTCCTCGTCTTCCTCGTCTCAGAGCTCGAGCGAGGTTGGCGAAGGGCGGGTCCAAGTCTTGGCTGTTGCCGATCCGCTGGCCGATGCCGAGACTGGCCAGCCTCGGCCGCGTCCGGCTGATCCTGCACGAATTGTCCAGCGACAGGTCACCTGGGCTACTGGTGCCCTTGTTGGCATGGTATTTGTATGGGCTTCTTTCATGGCCGCCTTTGTCATCGCCGGCGTCTCCAGCGGCAAGGCTGCACTCGCCGGCCTCGTTCCCGCCGGCGCGCTACTCATCTTTGGCCTGAGCTGTGTTGTGTGGGAGGGACGGATCCGAGCCAGATCTTGACTCACGCTCGGCCCACACCTCGGCCCAACGCACCGCATGGCTCGTTCCAGCCTGATTCAGCCCAATCCTGTTCCGAGACACCCCTCAGCCCAGCTCAGCTCAGCTCAGCCTGGCCCAGCCCATTGAACAGCAGCCACCGACCACACACCTGCTCACTGCTCATCCCTCCACTCGGTCATTCCCCGCCACCACCCCACCCCCACCCCCCCCTTCCCCCCAACACCCCCCCTCCCACCATGGACAAGCTCCAAGCCATGCTGGCGCGCAAGCGGAGCCAACTGAAGCGCAAGGCCGGCAGCGAGGGCAAGAGCCAGCCCGCTAGCAAGGCGAGGCAGGGGCAGAGCGACAGCGAGGGCGACGACGGACGGCGACACAAGCGACGCAAGTATCTGACACGGAGGGAGCTCGATGAGCAGCAGGCGTCTGCTGCTGCGGCAGAGGCTGCTGCTCGTCGGGCAGAGGCACTGGCTAGAGCTGCTCAGACTGCAGAGAAGCGCTTTGATCCCGTCGCCGAAGTCGTGAAGGCACAGACCGCTCCCGCGTCGCACACCACGCTCGCGCCGACCGACACGGCTGCCGCAGCTCCCGCAGCCGCGACCACGGCGGCTACCACGGCTGCCGACGCTAACCAGGCTACTGATAGTATTGGTGTAGAGAACGATGGCGAGGCCATGGAGGTCGATGCGGTCAAGGCTGCGTTGCGTGCCCGCAGCGAGGTGGTGACCTACTTTGGCGAGACGGACGCCGCCCGCGCCGCCCGTCTGCGCAAGCTGCTGCTGCACGAGGGCGAGTTCCGAACTGGCGAGGCCAACGAGTACTCACGTGCGCTCAAGGCAGAGAGTGAGCGCCTGCTGGAGGAGCAGATCGAGGCCCTGTCGGCTGCTCGGCCTGCGGAGCGCGGGACCGGCGCCGAGTACGGCGAGGTCTACCTCGGCAAGATCCCGGCCGATGTCTACGAGCGCGTTCTGTTCTGTTTCTCGCGTCTGCTTCATTTGTGGGTGCCGAGCTCGACGCCCGGTCTGTCACCGAGCGCGCCACCCGCGACGGCCGCCGGACCACCGCAAAGTATGCTCAGACCTGCTCCTATCTCCAGCCGCTGTTTGAGGAGCTGGTCCGGAAGCAGGTTCATCCCGAGATCCTCGCCGGCCTCGACGCCATTGTTCGCGAGCTCAACGGCCGCGACTACATCAATGCCATGGGCCACTTTGTCGACATGTCCATCGGCAACGCGCCGTGGCCCATCGGCGTCACCATGGTTGGCATCCACGAGCGCTCGGGTCGTGAGCGCATCTCGGCCCACAAGGTTGCCCACGTACTCAACGACGACCGCTCCCGCAAGTACATTCAGTCGGTCAAGCGCCTCATCACCTGGGCCCAGACCAAGTTCCCCCCTGATGACGCCTCTCGCCTCATCGGCTAGTTAAGTATTGCCCTCTACATGTGTAAAACATCCCTTTACAAATCCCACGCCGAAATCTCCATGTCCAGCGACATGCAGAACGGGAACTCGACCAAGACGTTGAGCGCGGCAATGACCTGCGCCCGGATCGACGGCGACCGGATGAACGACCACTCCTCAAACCACTTTTTGACCACCGGCTCGTCTTCGCTGAGAAGCGCAATCCACACGTGGAGGATCTTGTAGTTGAGCCCGTAGCAGACAAGCGACCGGAACTTGATGTCGTTGTTCCGCACAAGCTCATGCGAGTGGTTGACAACCTCGACCGCGCGCGAGAGCGAGAGCTGCGACTGCTTGTCCACCTCATCGAGCTTCTTGCGCACGTCGTTGAAGAACGCCCAAAGGTGGTGCCGCCCCAGCAGCTTGGCACTCTTGTACCCGTGCCAGAAAATCCGCACAAGCGCCGAGCAGAGCTGCCCGCGCACCAGCCGCCCGATGTCCGGGTTCTTGCAGTCGTCGCCGAGTGCCGCACGTGCTGCAGACGACGAGACGCTCGACCCAAAGTGCGCCCGGATGTCCTCCACAGCCTTGATGAGCCGGACCACCGGCTCCGGCGACGTCGAGACCTTGGCCCGCGGCACAATCTTCTTTCGCGACGACGAACCCTTGGCCTTCCGCCGCTTCTTCTTCAGCGCGCGGAGCGGCTCAAGCGGATCCACCGCGGCTCCGCCGCCAGCGCCGTCTGCACCATCTGCTCCGTTGGCGCCGCTCGCCCCGGCCTCCACCAGAACATAGTCGTCAGACTCACTGGCGGCGGCCGCGCCGCCAGCGCCTGATCCGCCGCTTCCGGCTGCCTTGCCGCTCCCGGACGTCGTCGTCCGGGTGGACCGGGCTCCGCCCCCGCTCCCGCTCGCAACCGCCGTCGACGCCTTGAGCTTCCGCACCGTCTTCTCCAGCTCCTCACGCTTCCGCCGCTCCTCCACGAGCTCTTCGCCAAGGACCTTGACCACGCGCTCGAGCTCGCGGAGCCGAACCTCGATCTGCAGATCACGCTCCGACGACCGCGCGGCCTCGGCTGCGTTCGCCTCGGTCGACTCGGCCGCCTGCACCTGCGATGCCAGCTCTGCAAGCTTGGCCTCCATGGCCGCCAGTGCGCCCTTCTCTGCCTGCGCCCGCTCAGCCTCGGCCGCCCGCTCGGCCTCGCGCTCGGCCTCCATTGCCGCCAGCTTTTCAGCAAACGCCGCCTCGACCTCAGCCCGGACCTCGGCAGACGCCTCGGCCTCGGCCGCTGCCGCCTCCCGGGCGCGCTTCTCCTCTGCCACGCGCGCCCGCTCGGCTGCCGCCGCGCGCTCCACCTCCAGCCGCTGCTTCTCGGCTGCAATCCGCAGCTGCCGCTCTTCGGCCCGCAGCGCCTCGAGCTCCGCCGCCGCCGCTGCTGCCGCTGCCGCGCGCTCCGCCGCACGCTGCGCGAGAATCGGGCCGTACTCGCGGTAGACCAGCATGCCGCGCGCAATGGCTTGGATTGCCACCGCCGCCTTGCGCTTGGCCACAAACGCCGCCCGCGCCTTGTACGCCTTGTACGTTGCCTGGATCTTCGCTGCCGCAAGCCCGGCCTGCGTTCGCTTCGCCGCCGGCAGCAACGAGGAGGCCAGCAGGTACACGGCGCCAAACGCGCCGGCAAGCTTGGCGCCCGCCGCCCGCTGGGCAAGCCGCGTCGACATTCGCAGCGACGCCCGCATTGCGTTGATCACCCGCTTCATCCGCTTCGCCGCAAGCCACCGGACAACCTTCTCCGCAATGTCGTCCGCCAGCTGCGTGTACTCGGATCCACGGAGCTCGTCCAGAAACGCCAGCCGGCCTGCCCGGAAGAACACCTTGGTGATGCCGAGCTGGAACTCGGACGCGTCCACCTCGAGCGCCATGAACAGCGCCTCGCAGAACGACGCAGAGTCGAGCGCCGCAATGACCGGTGGCACCACGTCCTTGTATCGGTCGTAGAGAACCTCGTACGGGCACCGGGTCGGGAAGCCCTCGTGCATCAGCAGCAGCGCCTCGAGCATTCCCGAGCACCGCAGCTGGTCGAGCACCATTTTTCCGTCGTACACCCCGCTCTTTTTGACCGAGTTGGGCTTGAGGCACCGCACAAAGTGCGAGTCTGTCGCCTCGAGGTCCGTCATCAACTCGCCGAGCTGCTTGACAAACTTGGATCCCACAGACGCCTTGCGCCGCGACCGCCGCCCGCTTCCGCTTCCGCTCTCGCCCTTGGCCTCCTCCGAAAACAGCTCGCCCATGAGCCCCAGGCCCGACGAGCCCACAATTGCGGCAAGATCCGGGTTGAGCGCATCGTTGTTCTTGTCCAGGAACGACGCCGCGTTGTAGGTCACCTCGCCTGCAAAGTGCTTGATGACAAAGCCCTCGTCGGCCGTCAGCCGGACCTTTGACGTCCGCGACGGCTTGGGCCGCCCCAGCCGCTTTGAGCTCGAGTGGCCCGAGTGGACCTTGGAGCAAAAGCCCTGCGGCGAGCCGCGCGGCAGCCGCACCTCCTCGTCGAGCGTCGGAAGAATGCCCTTCTCGATGAGGTCGATCACGTCCTGGTTGTCCACAAACTCGATCTTCTTGCACACAATGCCCTCGCGGTCGTAAATCTCCTGCTCTTGCCGGAGAACTTGGTGGTTAAAGTGCTGCTGCAGCTTCTCGTTCGCCAGATTGATGCAAAGCTGCTCAAACGAGTTGTCCTCAAAGTACTCAAAGCCGTAGATGTCGAGGACACCGATGAACGAGAGTGACTCGCTCCCGGTCAGGCTCTCGTTGATGACCGCCACCAGGTAGTCAAACACCCGCGCATACACGAGCTTAGCCAGAGCGTCGCGCGAGTACACAGCCTCCTGCTCCGAGAGCGGCTTGGTGAACGTCTCGCCGCGCGTCACAATCGTTCGCGTGCACAGCCGCGCCCCGAGCGCGTCCTCCGGCACAGCCAGGAGCTCGGCGGCGGCGGCGAGCGCCGCACTGTCGCCGATCCGCACTCCGCCCGACGAGCCGCGCGCCTCGGCAAAGGTCACGTTGCCGAGGTGGAGGAGGCCTGCCACAATCCGGAAAATGTCCTCCACAGGCTCGTTGTCAAAGCCAAGCTCCACCATCGCCTGCCGCATGGCGAGGAACTCGGCACCGTCGTCGACGTCGTCGAGCGTCGAGCAGCCAGACTGGTTGGTGTAGTGAAAGTCGTCCGGGCCCATGCCCGCTACCTTCCACCGCGCCGCCTCCTCCTCGCTCGCTCCAGCGAGAAGCTGGTAGAAGACGTGATAGTTGCGCTCGCCCCCGGCTTGCTGCACAATCCGCGACTTTTCCAGCAGATACGTCACAATCGACGCGCCGCACACGTGAGCCCCAGCGTCAAACAGGATCTTGGTAAACTTGCCGAACCGCGACGAGTTGTCGTTCCGCAGCGTCTTGGCATTACCAAACGCCTCCAGAATCGGGTTGGCCGCAATGATCCGCGACTCGAGCGAGCCCATCGAGACGCCCGAGTGGGTCCCGCCCGTCGCCGCCAGATACCGCATGGCAATCTTTGCGGTCTCGGTCTTGCCGGCGCCGGACTCGCCCGAAATGATGATCGACTGCGATGCGCCTGATGCCTTCATCGACCGGTACGCACGGTCGGCCACCGCGTAGGCGTGCGGCGGGAGAACGCCGATGGCCTTGCCCTGGTACGAGTTGAGCGTCTCGGGCGAGTAGATGGGCAACGACTTGTACGGGTTGACGGCGATGAGAATGTACGCCGTGTACGTGTAGATGATGTCGTTGGCATACCGCGCCCCAAGATTGTGCAGCAGCGAGGCCTCGTGCAGGTGCATCAGCTGGGTGTTGTCCGGCACGCCATCTTGAGTCTCAGGATTCCGCGGATACGTCTTGCTCTTGGCCATCGCCACAGGATCCTCTCGCTCGTACTGCTTCCCAAGCCTCCGCACAAGGTACTCGTCCGCTTCATCAGGATGGGTCTCGGCACTCGCAAGCACATACCCCTTCTCCACGTCGGGAATCCAAACAACCTCGGCCTCGCCCGACGACGACGACGAGCTTGCGGCCATAGCCAACGTAAATGACAGGTATGCGGTGGTGGTGGTGGTGGTGCGGTGGTGGTGGTGGTGGTGGTGGTGGTGGTGGTGTGTGTGTGTGTGTGTGTGTGAGGTGTGTCTGTCTTTGTCTCTGTCTTTGTCTCTGTGTCGGTGTGTCGTTGTGGCGGTGTGTGTGTGTGTGGAAGGTGGTCGTCGGTCGCCTCGCTCCGACTTCCCATGTGACTGCCGTTACACGTGGGCGATGGCGTGAGAAGCTTGATGTTGGCGACAACGATGATGATGGCGGCGAAGACGATGATGAAGATGATAACAACGACGACGACGACGATGTTGATGGCAATGACAGCGATAGCGACCATGACGACCACTATGCTACCCGACGGTTTGACGTGACGACGACAAGGACAGCCACGGCGACGACGATGATAATGACAATGGCGATAGTGACGATGACGATAAAGATGCTACCCCCCTCCCTCCCTCCCTCCCTCCCTCCCCCCCCGTCCCCCCGTTCCTTATCCCCAGTTTAGCCCCCTCCCCACCCTCCAACAAGGGGAATCGGGGAGGGGATACGCTCCCCCTCCCTCCCCCTCCCCCTCCCCCGCCCCCCCGCCAAAAAAATCCCCCAACGACTCTCCGCTTTTCACCCGCCCTCCACCATTCCTTCCCTCAGCCGTATCGTTTTCGCCTCCTCCTCCCCCCGGAAGACACTCTCCCTTCCCCTCCCCGGGTTACATGCACTACCATGCCAGTGCCGACGCACCTACTGGCTCACTTCCACATCACTCTCCCCACACATTTACAATGTTCACTACTGCGGTATGTACAGTGGCAGTAGTAGAGGAGGGGAGGAGGGGGAGGGAGGAGGGGGGAGGGTGGTACTGGTGGCCGGTGGCAGGGGGGGGGGGGAGAGAGCGGCAGCGTGGGTAGCGAGAGGGAACGAACAGTGGTCGGTGCGGGTGTTTGCAGGGGGAAGGTGGGGAAGGGGGGGGAGGGGGAAGGGGGAAGGGGGAAGGGGGTAAGGGGAAGGGGGAAGGGAATATGACATAGCTACTCTGCTTGCTACCACCCACTCACTTGCCCTTTTTCTCATCATGCTGTTTGCTCGCTCTTTCTGGTTGGTGGCGGGGGGCTCTCGGTACATGTGGTCGTGGTTGTGGTCGTGGTCGTGGTCGTGGTCGTGGTCGTGGTCATGGTCGTGGTCGTGGTCGTAATCGTGGTCGTGGTCATGGTCGTGGAATCGTGGTCGTGGTCATGGTCGTGGTCGTGGTCATGGTCGTGGTCGTTGGCATCGTCTGGACGGTGGGCTTTGGACATAGAGTCTTGCTCTTGCTGCGGCACTCTGTGTGGCGCCTGCCCGGGCTGAGACGCTTGGACTGGACAATGAGGATGGGATCATTCTGCTCGTGGGCATCGTCATTGTTGCCATTCTCGTTTTCGTCGGTGCGTACTTCCTCGCCAAGCGCGGCTGCTGCGATGATGACGACGAGGTCGTTGCTGCTCACAAGCGTGCCGTGGATGCCGAGGTTGGCAACTACAGCTACGAGTACGCCGACTCGGACGAGTACGTCGACTCGGATGCCGACTCGGACGAGTACGAGGAGGCCAGCGCCGAGTACGAGTACGAGTACGAGTCGTAAGGCCCTCTCGCTTACATCGCCTCCTGCGATTCTCTCTCCATCTGCACTCCCTCTCCTCCACCTGCACTCGCTGTGCTCGAGATCGACAACATCCGAAGCTGGCCCGGCAGGCCGGTCATGTTGGCTGGCTTGCGACAAGCCCAAACCGGTGTGATAAAAGCGAACTCACTCGGCCAGCCAAGCAACGTTGAGTTTATAGCAGTCAATGTGCGCAGCGCAAGCTACGATCCCAGCGGCGAGGTGTCGCTTGACGCTGCCGAGGCCAGCGGCGACGGCTCGGCGCGGAGCGAGCCGGACTCGTGGTCGTCCGCGTTGTCGAGCGGGTGCAGGAGCGTGCGGGTCTCCTCTGTGCCGTAGGCGCGCGGGACAAGACGGATGACGGTGTGGAGCGGGATGGGGGTGTGGGGGACCTCCTCGATGTCCAAGCCCATGAGGTAGCCGTAAAGGCAGCGGAGGACGGCCTGGTGGCCGATGACCAGGACCGGAAGGACCTGGCGCTCGAGCTCAAAGATGACCGGCTCGAGGCGGGCAATGAGATCTTCGTAGCCCTCGCCACGCGGGTAGCGGTAGCGGAGCTTGTCGGCGATGCGGGCGGCGTACTCGTCGGGGTACGTCGCCTCAAACTCGGCAGGCGTCATGCCGTCGCAGATGCCGACCGAGATCTCCTCGAGCGCCTTCCATCGCAGCAGCTGGGCGCACTTGATCTTCTCCGCCGACTGGATGGTCCGCACCATGGTCGAGGTAAAAATGATGAGGTCCGAGTCGAGGTCGCGGAGGTAGCCCGAGGTGTCGTGGTCGGTCTCCTTCTCCATCCACTCGCCGAGCGCCTCGGCATACTTGAGGCCCGAAAGAGTGAGCGGCGAGTCGCCGCCGATCCGGTCTTGCCGGTTAAACTCGGACTCGCCGTGGCGCGAGAGGTAGATCGGCCGCTGGACAATGTGCATGTTCATGAGGAAGAACACGATCTTGGTCGGGAGGTAGCCCTTGATCCGGTTGGTCTGCGTCTCGCGTCCGACGTCAAAGAGCCGAATGAACGAGACGGACCGCTCCTGAACTGGCTCGTACGCCGCCTCGTAGTGGGCAATGCGCTCGGTAAAGTCTGACACGGCCTCGTCCTCGGTCATCCCGGCGTAGTCGGGCGAGAACTTGTGCTTGTGCAGCACGTTGCGCTTGATGACCTCAGGCCGGTTGCAGATGACTTCGATAAACACAACCTTGACCGAGAACGTTGACGGCGTCTTGAGGTAGTTGACCACAAACTTGCGCCGCGCTCGGGTCGAGTTGGTGGCGTCGAGAATGCCAATGTGGTGCTTGGGGTCCTCGGCAAACCACGCGCACATGTCCGCCAGCGCCATCCGCGCCATTCGCGACCGCGCTTCGACGCCGTCGCGGTTGTCGGCCCGGAAAAAGTCGTGCGAGAGGTACGAGCCGATGTTGTCGCGGCGATACATGCCGTTGTTGAAGATCTTGGTCTCAAACCCGATCCACTTTAGGTACCTTTGCAGCTTTTGCGCAATAAATGACTTGCCACGCGCCGGCAGGCCGACCATGGCCAAGACCAGCTTGCGCTCGCCGGCCTTGGCCTCGTTCGAGTTGTCGACGCGGAAGACCCCATCGAGCAGCAACTGGTTCTGCAGAATCGCCGACCCATACGCCGGCCCACCGTGGATGACCAGTGGGTGGGTGACCGACGCCAGGCTGGTGGCCAGCTCGTCCACGTCCGAGCCAAAGTCCGACAGCTCCTCATCGTTTTCTTCGCTCATGTCGTACGCCGAGGGGTTCGGGGACGCCGCGGGCGTGTTGTACGTCGACGTTGTCGCCGACCCTGCCGGCGCCGTTGCCACCTGCAAATGCGCCGGCACCATGCTCTCCAACGACGTCGACGAGCTGCTCGGCAGTGTCACGCTGATGCAGTGGTTCACGTGCCCGTTCTCGTCCACCACCGTCGCCTGATGCGGCGCGAGCGTCCACTTGCCATTGACCACAAACTTGTACGAGTAGATGCCCGGCCGGAGCGTCAGCGATGTCTCATAGTGTCTCCCTTCCAGGGTCAGCGGAATCCGGCCACTCCATCCATCAAACGAGCCAGCAAGGACGACGTCAGCCACGTTGCTCTCTCCCGCCCCAGCTCCCTCCCCAGCTCCTTCTCCAGTCCCGGTGCCTACTTTGGCGTCGGCGGGAAAGTAGAAGGGGACACGGACAGTCTTGCGCATGAGCGGTGACTCTTCCTCCCGAACAGACGACGGGGATGCCATAACTGAGGGATGAGTCGGAAGAGAGGGGTGCGTGGCCGTGTGGCCTGTGGCTGTGTGGGTAGGGTGCGTGGGCCCATCATTGTGCGGGTGAGTGGCCTTCGGCGGCGATTGGGCTGATGGCTCGCCTGGGTTTGGCGGCTCGCTTAGGTTTGGCGGCTCGCTTGGTTGGCGGCTTGCCGCGCCGACTTGGCTTGACTTTAGCTTGCTCCTCTACATGGTACATGGTACACGGTACACGGTTGCTGGTCCAGCTTAAGACGACGGCCCCGCACCCGAGCCCGAGCTAATAGAGTCGACAACCCACTTCATGCCCTCCTCCAGACCGTCTCCGGTCTTGGCCGAGCACGCCTGGATCTGCCATTGGCGATCGCGGATGGCGTAGAGGTTGAGGCCGTCAGCAATGTCTGCCGGGTCGAGGGCAGAAATGAGATCCTGCTTGTTCGCAAAGAGCAGGAGCGGGATGCCTGACAGCGTGTCCTCCTCCAGCAGCTCGTTGAGCTCAAAACCGGTCTCCTCCAGCCGCCGCTCGTCCGCCGAGTCGATGACGTAGACCAGTGCGTCACAGTTGTCAAAGTAGTTGCGCCAGTACGGCCGGATGGTCCGCTGCCCGCCAATGTCCCACACGTTGAGCTTGAAGCTCTCCTGCTGGATCGACTTGACATGGAAGCCCTGCGTCGGCATCGTGTGCGAGATGTCCTCCTTGGCCAGCTTCTTGAGAATGGACGTCTTCCCTGCATTGTCCAGCCCCAGCAGCAGAATACGCACCTCCTTATCGGTCTTCTTCAGCTTCCGCAGCATCGAGAGCAGGCCCTGTTCGCCCGCCACCAACACCCGCCGAACAAGCCCCCCCCCCCCCCCCCCCTTCGCCCCCGCCCGTCCCCAACTCCCAGATCGGGCGACCTGACTTTGAAGAGGATCACTCAGACATCAGACAATGGCTTTATGTTGCTCATCACACCACACGCCGAGAGACTGAGAGCTCGAGCTTGGGATGCGGGCACATGGTGATCGATTGGAACATGTCGACGTCGTCCGGCGGAGTGATGAGGGTAAAGGCAAAAGCGCGGACAAAGACACTGAGCGCGAGCTTGGCCTCAATCATTGCCATCCGCTCACCGATGCATGAGCGTGGACCGGCGCCAAAGACAAACGGGAGCTTGAGACCCGGATTTGCCAGCCAGCGGTCGGCGTCAAAGGTCTCGGGCGACGGGTACTCGTCCGGATCCAGGCCGAGCGTGTACGGTGCACCCATAATGACGGTGTCGGCGGGTACCGCCAGCCCGTTGATCTCGGTATCCTCGAGCGTCCGCCGCATCAGCGACGGCACCGTCGGCCGCAGCCGCAGCGTCTCCTTGATCACGGCCTGGACGAGGTCGAGCGAGGCAAGCGAGGCGTACTCGGGCTCGCCGTCCGGGCCCCACGCCCCCACCACCTCGTTCGCCACCCGCTCCTGGAGCTCACGATCCTGCGCAAGGAAGAAGAGGGCCCATGCGAGCGTGTGCGATGTCGTCTCATGCCCAGCAATCATCATGTCCTGCAGCGTGTACGCAATGTCGGCATGGGTAAAGTGCGCCTCACCTGCGACGCTGTCGGCTTCCTCGGCCTCGGCCGACTCGAGCAGAATATCCAGAAAGTCCGGTTCGCCCGACGGCGTGGCGTGGCTCCCGTTCGCCCGTGCCGCCTTGCGCTGCGCGATGAACGCCTCCATAAACTCCATCATAACTCGCGACGCCGCCTGGACCTTGGCCCGCTCGGCCGAATAGAACGGAAGGAGCAGGCCCGGCTTGGTGCCCAGAAGAGTGAGCCCGCGGAGAATGCCGTGAACAGAGTCACGGAACGCGGCTAGAGACGCCAGATCGTCGCTTTTTGCGCCGGTGCCGCCCTTGAGTGAGGCTCGCGGGAATGAGCAGAGGCAGAGCGAGAGCGCGGCCTCGCCGATGATCTCAAGAGTAAGCGCCGAGAGGTCTGCAACGTCAAACACCGTGCCGCTCGCCTCAACGTGAGCCACAAAGTCATCCGCCACCGGCACCATCGATGTCGCAAACAGGCGCTTGAGAAATGAGGGGCGAAGGAGGCCCCGCAGTGCTGCAGACCGATGGACCTTCCACTTGGGCATGTCCGAGATAAAGACAATACCCTTTTGGCGGAAGATCTCGTTGCCAATGGCCGACACAATCCGCCCAGCGCATGCCTTGCTCCCCAGCATGACCTGCAGATCTTCGCGCGTCCGCAGCACAAGCATGGACCGCGTGGCAAAGTACAGCTGGATGGCGCGCGGCGCGCCGCGAGCATCACGCTCGGCAGTCTCGTCAAGATGCAGATCTACGAGCCACTCACGCGGATTGAGAAAGACGTGATGCAGATGGCGGAAGAGGTTGAACTCACGTCGCCTTCCGCCAGCCCTTGCCAGATCCGAGAAGATCGCCGCCGATCCGAGCGGGAACCGCGGCGGGAGCAGCGGAACAGCCAGCCGTTTGCCCACTCTCCACACATACTGCAAGTACAGGTAGAGAGCCAAGACGGCGAGAGCCAGTCCAACCGCCAGGTACACCACAGCCCAAACGAGTCCAGCCACCGTCACAAAGCCGCCCACCTCCATACCAAGCCAAAACTAGAGTGCGATGTGCTCCCTAGCTGCCACCATCCCCCTCCCCCCGCACCGCACGCGCCTGTCGCTCCGCCCCCCCCCCCCCCCCCCCCCCCCCCCCCCGTACCATTCCGAAGCAGCTCCAT